ACATGAGCAACAAAAACGCATGTGCATTTGTAGCAAAAAATATTTAAAAGCATGTGTATGACATTTTTCATAATGGCTCAAACCTAGAAATAGCACAAATGTCCATCAACAATATAATGAATAACTGCACTAGTTTTATATAATGGAATACTACATAGCAGTGAAAATTAGTGAACCACAAAAAAAAAATGAGTGAAAGATGGACATTTGCATCCAAAATTCATTGCTTTGTGACCTTAATGCATAAGAATTCATGGAAAGCATAAATGGTAATAATTTTATAATTTAAAACTGATAAATTAAAAACTTACAGAAGAGATAAAATTTAATGAATATAACTAACATTTATTGAACGTTTACTGGGTCTCAAGAGCTATTATAAGTGCATTATCTATTTAACCTTTACAATATTCAGAAGATATAGTACTATTACAATCACATTTCAAAGGTGAAGAGACGGGCACCCAGAACTTAAATAATGGACACAAAATCACACAGCTAAAGAGGCCTCAGTAAGGACTCTAAAGAAATGTAGCAGAATGGTTCTGGAGCTATGATTTTAAACAGTAGATTATGCTGCTACTCCAAGATAGGCGTAAGAGAGAGAGAGAGAGTTATTTTCCCCCTTGTCAAAATTATTGTTTAGAATGATAGGTAAACTAAGTCTAAATTATTGTTCTTCCATGAACCAAAGGTATTAAATCTTCAATTTACTACTCTGTCTTTGTTTCATTTTTAAACTCTGCTAAGGAAGGAAGAAGAATTGCATTAAGATGGCATGTTTACTATTCTAATTTATAATTGAGTAATATCATAAAATTTACTTCCTGTTTCTGCTGCCCAGCATACAAGTGACTGTATATAAGAGATTCATCACTAGCCATAAGGAGATTTTTCTCTCTAAAGTACCCAAAGACTTATCTAAAGAAGGGGGAAATTTTTGGAAAGGGAAAAAAAATGTTTTTCTGATTATTGGTAACACCATTGTCTAATTCCATCAACCTGGAAATCTCAGCAGCTTTTTAGAGGAATGATGATACCATAGTCAACTGCAGAGATTCTGGAGCTTGACTCAATGGGCTCAGATATCAGCCCTGTTACTTTTCACTTAAGTGACTTTGGACAATTTGCTTAACTAATGTTTGCATCAGTTTCCTCTTGGGTAAAATGGGGATGACATTAGTCTTTCACACTGAAAACAAGCCTGTACTTAATAAATCCTACACATGCATTAATTATCATTATCCTGATAATTATTATTATTATTATTAACATTATTATTACTCCCTAAATCTATTTCCTTCCCAATAAATCTCACATGCTCCTGCTCTTCCTGTCTCTCCCCACTGCTATGGTCTCAGGTCTTGCCCTCATTCTTTTATTCTCATACTGCCACAATTGCCTGAAAATTAATGTTGCTCCAAGTCTTCCCAATTGCACTCCATTCTGAAGAATTCAACAGACTAATATTCAAAAATGAAACTTTCTGTCCACAGGATAAGCCCTTACAAAATTCCTCCCCCTCCAATTAAATTCAAATTTCTTGAATGGTTTATCAGTATTTCCCACAGCCTGTCACGGACCTTATTTGTCATTGAGGTCTAGTTTGAGTCCAACATGAGAAACTTACTCTGTCCCCAAACTCATTAGTTTGCCTTTCAATAAATGTGAAGTACACTCTTTACTTCTAAACTTTAGTATGCCAGTTTCTTAACCACTCTGTTAACATTTTCTACCTGAATTCAGATATAAACCAAAAGTAATCTCCATCATAAAAAATCTTAGGCTGATGCAATTTGGAATTTTATTTCCTTTCTAAGATCTCCTTGAATGCTTTCTTTCTTCACACGTTTATACCTTTTATTATTTCTCAACTTATTTGAAATGGCTTATGAAATTATTTAGTTTATACCCTTCTTATGATGTGACTTACCATACTCCCTGGTTTATCTATGCCCGGGCACATCTTATTTCCTCGGATTGAAAACAAAGTTTCCTTGAGAGTACCTTCTGTCTTTCCTTCCCATTTGTTCTAGTATTTACCAGCTCAGTACCTCTCACATTTAAGAGTATGCAGTAAATATGAATTGAACCTAGTGAAATGAAAATAACTAAACAAAATCGCTAGCTTTGTCTTGCAGAGACCCAATCTGGAAATTAAGAGTAGAAGTATTTAATAAGTCCCTCGTTCTCAAAACTAAGAGTAACATGGGAGCATGAAAGACTTAACTTACTCATTTTTAGAGCAATAATCTTTTAAATACTGGCAACATTAATATATGTCTCACAGACAAAATGTTGCTGATAATTTGTTTCAAGAAGTGAAGAACAGGCTCGCTGCCTGTAGCTCAAACAGCTAAGGCGCCAGCCACATACACCAGAGCTGGCGGGTTCAAATCCAGCCCGGGCTTGCCAAACAACAATGACAACTACAACCAAAAAATAGCCGGGCATTGTGGCGGGCGCCTGTAGTCCCAGCTACTCGAGAGGCTGAGGCAAGAGAATCGCCTAAGCCCAGGAGTTGGAGGTTGCTGTGAGCTGTGATGGCACAGCACTCTACCGAGGGCCACAGCTTGAGGATCTGTCTCAAAAAAAAGTGAAGAACAAAGGGATTGGGACCCGCGGCTAAAGTAGAGAAGATGAAGGTCACAAAAAGTCCAAAAGGGAAAGGGTCAGTGTGGCCCGTATGTTGCAGGATGGCACCAGGAACACCACACACCTAAAGATGATAATGAGGGGAAAGACTGGCTAGGTCTTTTATTATTTGGAACTCTTCATTCCAAACTTCTCTACACTGTATGAAGTGGCCGAAGGAGTGCAAGGAAAGTGGGGTCAGCCACTTAAAATCCCGAAAGTCTTAACAGAAGCATAAGATACCATCTCCACCATTCAGAAAGGAGCTTTTCTTTTCTTTTTTTTTTTTAACTTTTCAAGTGTTCTCTAATCAAACAGCATTTTTTTAAGGGCAATTTATTCTGGATTGCTAGGTGGTCCCATTGAAAATATAAATCAATTTTTTTTATTTCTTTTATTTGAAATTCAGTTATAAAATATTCATTTGCTAAGGCCTTCTTATGTATGGTCTGAGGTTTGGAAATAGTGTTTTAATGCAGAAAAAAAAAAATAGTGAGATCAGACACAGAATCTCAGTGCTTAACACCCAGGTTAAAAAGATAATGAAGCTTTAGAATTAGATAGGCAGGCTTCCAGCTTCCTTTCCATGAATGATACATTTACATTTCCTACTATGAAAAATGAGGATACAACATGTCTGATTCACAATGTTACTGCTTAGATTAAAGTGCAAGGGATTGAGTGGATACTTGGTAATGTTTTCTTGCCCACAGTTCTTCAGTTTCCTGCACTTGCTTGACAGAGCATTAAGCTCGTTCCTCCAAATTATCTGATAGTTCTACCATTTAACTGTTTTCTTTATTTGTTTTTACAAGTTTTCCATGTCTGCTTCAAGTATTTCAGACTCTGCAAGCACTTCACAATTGCTCCCCCCCTTCTCTCATAAAGCTCACACACACTTTCACTGTTACAAAAGCATCTCGTTCTCTATTTATAAAGATAGCTGAAGTTTACTTTCTTTCTGAGCATGTCATTCACCAGTACTCACTGAATTCTTTATATGTTTACTTTACATGGCTTGATTACAAGATTATAATGCTTGATAAACATACTTAAATATGCAAGTAAATCACTTCCTATATAATAACCACTAACATGTATTGAGTATTTACCATGTAGGTGGAACTGCGCTGTACTTTACATGTGATTATCCACTCCACATAGATGAATGAGGTAGTTCCTAATCGTACATTCATTTTAAAGAGATATTAAACATTTTGCTCAATATCATACAAATAGCAAGTCATAAATATACAATTTTACATTGGGTGTTCTAAATCTTGAGTCTGGATTCATCATCCACCACCACTTTCTACATCAGGAGACAAAGTACATGTTATCAGTTCTGCCATCATTTCTTCTCCATGTTTTGGAAATTCTATTTTTGAACGTGCTCCTTATCTTTCCCAGTTTATTAAACGAAGCAGTTGAGCATATGAGTGCTAGGACCCTTCCAACTTTAACGTAATAAGATGACATTTAATCATGTGTTGCAATGAATAAAAGAAGACTTTTGGAAAACTTTAAAATGCAAGTGGATTCACAAACTCTCATTCAGGAGTCTACAGTTTTACTTATTTTCTCATAGTTCAAGTCGGTCCAAGTCAGGAATTAGAACACATTATTTAAAATAAAAACAATAAGATAGACAATAACAAAAATAATCTGCAACATTGTTTTCAGTCCTTAAGCCAGACAAGGCTTAAGCAGAAGCAAAATCCAGAAGAAAGAACCAGAAAGTCTTTGAACTCTTAAATATTTAAGCTCTTAATTTCAAGTCATCTAACTTAATTCTAAGTGACTGGTGGAGGCAGTACTGTAGGAAAGTCTTACACCCAAAGCCTAGGTTAATCACTTTGGAGAGATATTGAGCAAGATACTAAAACTTTTGGGGTCTTATTTTTCTCATTTATAAAATAGGATAAAAATAACGATCTTAAAAGAGTTGGGGAAGTATTATAAGGAGATGCTTTTGTAAGTGCCTGACACAACAGAAAATCCTAACACATGTTAATTCAACACTGCATTTTAAATTTTGCATATCAACACAGGCAAATATCACTAATATTTCCTTTATTCTTTCAATTTAAGTCTAAGAGGGAAAAAAAATCTCACTGAAATAATCAGTGAGAAATGTTATGTGTGGGTAATATTGAACAAAAGTAAAATCACTCATTAGAAATATTAAATTACATAACTTCATTCAGACTAGCAAATAGCTCATCATTTTTAATCTTTTGTATCCACTTTTTAATATTCACAACTATCAAAGACTGAAAATAGAAATGTGTTCTTTCCTGACTGTCTCCCGAATTCATTTCTCATGATTGCAATTGGGTAGAAAAATAAAAATATATATTACTTACTGTATGTGGCACTTGGCAATTTCAAAATGATACACAAACATTCATTCTCAAAATGCTTCCACAAAATGCATCTGCAGAGGAAGAAAAAAAATCCAAAAGAGTAAGCAATTTGTCAAGGTCACAGAAAAACAGATCCAGACCAACACACATTTAACCTCTATATACTTTAACATACCGAAATAGATTTTTCATAATACAGATTATACATCTAGCAAAGTAGAACAGGCTGATGAACAGAAATACTCCTGACTACATGCAAATGTTCAAAATCAGTAAAGAAAGAAAGACACTTTTAAATGAAAGGTAGGAACTGTCTGCACATTGGCTTCAGAATTTTATGCAAGAAACACACTGCTCCCCACCGCCCCCTAGAATACTGGCAGAACGGCATAAAAGAAATTTAAAAATGTGAGATGTTCCTAAGTAAATTTAGGAGTAAATTTGAGATGATTATTCAAATAATTCAAATTTTTTAAATATACTTTGATATATAAAGATCACTGTATGAGGATCACTGAGTTAGAAAATAATTTTGCTTGCTTTTTCCAGAGAATTGCACCAATTCACTTGGTCACCGGATTTCAATTACACCTGAAAGCACGCACTGGGAAAAAGTCAACCATGGGGTTTGCACAACTCAGGAAAATGGACAAACAGATGCATTCTCTGTTTTCCAGAGAGACAGTGTGATTATAAGGGGGAAGTGATTTAAGTGGGATTTTTTTAATTAATTTGTTTTAGAGGGGGGCATTTTAGAAGACCACATTAATTCAAGCTCTAAATATTTCAATGTAAATATATTTTATGCTGACTACTCTTTTTTATAAAAGAACTATCCAAAAGAAACAAAATAAAATGCAACCTAATGAAAATTATACCTAACCTTTCAAAGCACAGTGTATTGTTTCAGACAGATTAGGCACTCCATAGACCAAGGAAATAAAAATCTCCCTAAGTAGCAAGATCTTTAGAGAAATATTACTTCTCAGTGTCCAACAGAATTTCTGTCCAAAGAAACTGGAGTCTTTACAGTATTAAACAGAAATAGAAGTTTAGTGATACAGGAGATGTGCTTTTATGTTCACCAAAACCATCTGGAAGGAGATTCAGAACATGCAAATAGTGTGTGAAAGGCACTAGGAAGGCACCAGCCTCCACCTTGACCATAAAAGCATGATTCCACCAGTGTTCAACACGGAGCATCTCAAACCAGAAAAACCAGATAGAATTAGCAAGTTTTAGTTTAATGACAGAAATAAATAAAGTTCTAACAAACTATGTATTAAGTTCCAACATAGAAATTAATAGCAGACACAAATTCATTTTCACATATAATTTTATTGTATTTATAAAGTTATAACAATTAGCTGATGTGTCTACTTCTTCATACTTCAGCTTATTCTTTCTCATAGACAGAGGAGTAAGGTTAATGCTAATTATTTGACTTGCCCAATTTGACACAGCTCGTCTGACCTGGGTTTCCTCTTACTGTAACATCTGCTAGTCTCTAAACTGGATCCAGATCAAAAGTTGCAAATTAGAGCCAAAAAACAAAAAAAATCTCAATTGCTGACATATTATGGCTGACACACATCATTGCTTTTAAAATATTAAACAATATTCAATAGCAGAAGATTTCTCATAAAATTCTTATTACTAGCTTCTCTGGTAGAGCAAAGATTTTGCAATGCTGGGCTCTGAGTTCCCACCTGGATCAGAGACCTGATGGCCCCTCTTAAATGGCACCAGCTTTCTATACTCACCTGGTACCTACGTTTGCAAACTATCTTCTACTTTTCCAGTTTCAAGCACTGGAGTGTTTTGCACCTGATCTTAGCCCTGATTTTCTACCTCATGCCATCATATCTTTCTGCTTAAAAACTGAAGGAAAGATTTTCCTTTCTTGAGCACAAAAAGCTCATTTCCTCAACTGAAGCAACTGCTTATAATCAAATATTTCACAAGATTCCAATAATCAGGTGCTATAAATTACTTACGCTATTTTAAAACTCCGCGGATTTAAATTTCCATTCATTTAAATATATATTTAAAATTTCTAAAGCCAAGGGAAAAAATTATATACACAAGTGGTACATCATCAAAAGAATACATGATTTTAAATAATGATGTTACCTTTACCATGGATACGATTTTCAGAGGGATATTTCCTAAACTAATAAATAGATAATATAATAATTATAATGATGAACATGAATCTTCAATTTAATTAAATAAACTGGATTAAGAGAACATTGATTAACCACTGAAGTAGAAATAATGCAACCTAAAATTTTGGTTAAACAATGGCATATTACAAATATCTTGAAATATCACATTTTTGAGGAATGCTTAAAAGGATGGACCTGGAATTCTGGGTATCTCTGATAAGAGATGTTACCTAAATCTAACACTGGGCATCTCTGATAACAGAAGCTACCCAAAATTGAAAATAATAATAATAAAAAATAAATAAATAAAGAAGCTACCCAAATTTGACACCATCCATATATTGTGCAAAAAAAATAAAATAAAATAAAACTAGCCAGTAAAAATAAATAAAAACATACAAATTCTAGGCCTTCAGTATAACTGGAAGTTGGAGAATAACAAAAATGTCAAATTACCTGTAAACAGAAAATTAAACACAAATTTCTAACAGATCTACCTTTCAAGCTCTCATTGTATAAATTACAGAGATCTAGGCAAAAAATAAAAAATAAAGAACTGTGGGAAAGAAAGGAAAATAAACATTCTAAGAGTGACACTAAAAATTACTTATAAGAAGTCCACTCAAACTATAAAAATATTGAAAAACTATCCTGGCCTAGAGCACGTATGCAGAGAGGAAACTTATGAAATTTGTGGCAACCACATGTTTTCTGCAGGAAGGAACAAGTAAGGCATTTAAAAATGATGGGGGGGGAGGATGGGTGGAGGGAGGGTGATTGGTGGGATCACGCCTATGATTGGTCCTCTAAGGGTACATGTGAATCTCTCTAAATGTAGAATATAAATGTCTTAACACATTAACTAAGAAAAAGACATGAAGGCTATGCTAACCAGTTGGATGAAAGTATTTCAAATTGTGTACAGGAACAGTACACTGTACCCCATGATAGTATTAATGTACACTGTTACGATTTAATAAAAAAAAAAAAAAAAGAACTAAATCATGAATGTAGCAGCTGTCAATTTAGTCCTTATGACTTACTAATGCTCTAACTGTGCCGGTCAATCAGCAAGGTTTATTACCTTGAAACTTAATTTATTCTTTGGTATTTTATCACCCTCAGTACAGTGCCTTGGCATCACAGCTCACAGCATCCTCCAGCTCTTAGGCTTAGGCGATTCTCTTGCCTCAGCCTCCCAAGTAGCTGGAACTATAGGTGCTACCACAATGCCCGGCTATTTTTTTGTTGCAGTTTGGCCAGGGTTGGGTTCAAACCCTCCACCCTTGGTATATGGGGCTGGTGCCCTACTCACTGAGCCACCGATATTTTTGTATTTTAAAAATAAAATAAAAACATAAAAGATGAACAAAACTATATTAATAAAAATAAAAGGATTTGTTCTGTAAAATTTGGATTCAGTCCAAAGGCAGCACTTAAGGACCTTGAAGGCCACATGTGGCCTCAGCCCAGTTTAGACAATGCCATGTAAAATCTCATCAACAGCAAAGTCTACAAAAGGCTATTTTGTAGACTAAAAGGAAGCAGAGGGTCTGGTTCTAGCCTTAGCTGAGGGGCAATGGGAAGTGCTGAACCTCTAGGTCGGTAATTTTCAACCAGTGTGCATGGCACACCAGTGTGCTGTGAGAGGATCTTAAGTGTGCCATGAAAAATTTTAAAGATCATTAATTAAATTATTTTCAAAAGAAAAAATAAATAAATAAATAAATAAATAAAATAAAAATGATGGGAACACATTAACAGGACACAGATCCCAGCTTCCAGAGGCCAAATCTTGGATACTTAAGAGATAAAAATAAATAATTATTATAAAGCATTAAAAATCATTGCAAAAATTTAATATAAATAAAGAGATGCATGTAATATAAAATTAAGAAAAGTCTTCCTTTGAGTAAAATGCTGCTTAAAAAAAAAAAAAATAGATGGTGGGCAGTGCCTGTGGCTCAAAGGAATGGGGCACGAGCCCCATATGCCAGAAGTGGCCAGTTCAAATCCAGCCCTGGCCAAAAAAAAAAAAAAAAAAAAAAAAAAAATAGATAGATTGATGAAGTTGGAAAATCATCATCTAGCAAACATTATAGTTTAACTGATTTAGCCAAGAAAACACCAACAGATCAGCACTCATGGGTGAAAATGTGATGACAAGATATTTCCAAATTCTGAAAGTACTTTCCCACAAATTACTTAATTACAATGAGGAAAATAGTAAGTAGCAATAGAGAAACTGGGCAAAAACCACCTTAATGAACTGATCAAAGACAACATCATCAGTAATAGTATAAAGACACACATTGTGCCTCCAAGTGTGCTGTACTGGAGAAGGACACGTGCCTACTGTGGTATGCCTGCCAAAAAGGGTTAATCATTAGGAAATTAATCATTAGGAAACATTGGGTAAAGCCAACCTGAAGATACTGTACAATACCTAGCCTAAACTCTTCAAATATCAAGATAAATAAAGACTCAGGAAATGTTCTACATAAAAGGAAGTCTAAGCAATAAAAACAACCTTCAGAATGGGAAAAGATATTTTCAGTCTATGAATCTGACAAAAGGTCGATAACCAGAATCTATAGAGAGCTCAAATTAATCAACAAAAAATGAGCAAAGAATCCCATCTACCACTGGGCAAGAGATATGAACAGAATCTTCTCTGATGAAGACAGAAGAATGGCTAACAAACATTTGAAAAAATGCTCACAACCCTGATCATCAGAGAAATGCAAATTAAAACCACCCTGAGATATCACCCAACCCCAGTGAAAATAGCCCACATCACAAAGTCACAAAGGTGCAGATGCTGGCATGGATGTGGAGAGAAGGAAATACTTTATACTGCTGGTGGGACTGCAAACTAAGACAACATTTTTGGAAGGAAGTAT